AGCTTCCCAGGTCCTCCTGCGTTTGAGCTCCCCAGGCATCTCCTCCTCGTTGGTGCTCTCAAATAGTACCGGTTTGATGCCCTTGGACTCAGCCGAATACTCTCCTCTAGAAGCAGGTTTCCATTGGCTGCCATACCCTTCAGAGCTTGAAGCTCCCGCAGAAGTCCATTTGTATGCTCCTGTAGGGCTGGACTTCACTCTTCCTCCCGCTCTAAGTTCCACTCCAAATGTTTTTTCAGCAACAAAACCCTCTTCATACTTCAACGGGCAGAATTTATCAGAATGACCAATAATGCCACAAATGAAACAGAAACTGGGCAACTTCTCATATTTAAAGTCCACCCAATGCTTAATACCATCCTGTGTCAGATTAGTGCCTTTTTTCAAAGGTTGGCGAACATCCATAGACACCCTAATACGCAGATAGGAAGTCTGCCTACCATCAAATTGGCTCATCTCAAATTTAATGAAAGAGCCCAGAAAATTACCAATTCTTCTAGCAGATCGCAAATTCCTATACTTTATAGGAGCATTGTGAACCTGTACCCAAAAGCTAGCCTCATACAGATTCATTGATTCAGGTATATCATCAGGCTGAACAGCTTTTAGTAATATCAAATCGCGCTCAAATAGCCAAGGACCATCCTCAATAACACGATTCATATCCAAACAGTGATTAAAAATTAACAGATACCTTTTGTCGCTGATTTCCTTGATAGTCATACCTTTAACAGGTTTCCAAACCGCTATCATCATCTCCTGAAACCCTGCCAGTTTAATTTTCCAATCCGAAATCACCACTGCTACCGCCGGAAAACCAGTCGACCCTGCATCCTCCTCGACGTCCTCCGCTGCATCTTCATCAAAGTTCAACTCATTCTCCTGCTCGTTCATCGAAAGTTTCTTGTATGAAGCCACAAAATCTTCCATTCGTATACCTCCGTTCATCCAGCAAAACCACGACAACCGCTCGCCGCCTCCACTCGCTCGCGATCCTCGGCCAATCGCCGAGATCGGACACACCGAACCCTAGCGGCGTAGGAACGCCCTAGACAAGTCGAAGATTTGGAGAGGATAACTCTCGCTCTGCTTAATCAATTAGTCATATTTATGTTAATAAGTTTTATTTTAGTAATATTCTTATAAAAACCCTATAATCATTCTGAATCATTTTATTTTTAGTAGCTAAATTTTTGTTCTTCTATGAGTTCTCATCTAGATGGAAATCGATAGGAAGGTAGCTAGGGTTAGTTTGTGCGGCGGCTCTGGCTCTGGAAGAAGGCATACATGGATTGATGGAATTTTCCTTTTGTGGGATACGATAGGTTAGCTAAGTGTGAAAAAAACAAGTGTTAAAATTAGCTAAGTTAAAAAATGTTAAAGCACACACCGGCCTACCCGGCCCATTAAGTGTCACTATTAGGCAGTGATGTTTTTTTGTTAGAAATTAGTGACACTTCTATGTCATTGGTAGTATTCTGTCAGAAAAGTGTCACTACGAAAGTGTCACTGTAAGCCTGTTTTTTACTAGTGTCTTGAAGGGGGCATTCATAATTTAATTTCTTTACACAAGTAAACTTTCCATTGAATTTTTTACCTGGCGCCGCTTTCTATAATTTTCTCCTTGTTTTTATTTATCCTATTCAGATTCAGTCCTTTTTATTATACCTTGAAATGAATTAAATTAATAAATTTATCATGATTGGAAATGTTTGTCTAACAAAATCAACAAGTTATAACACCAACACTCAATAGAAAACAATCAACAATTAAGAAATCAAACAAACAACTATGAATGAAACCTGCAGTTAATAAACTAATCAAATAATCATATCAGACTAGTTTGCTTCCTAGTGGATTTTTTTTTTGAAATTTCAAGAGAATGTTTTTCATCAAGTGTAAATTATGCTCATGAAATTTCAGCTTAAAATTCAATCGTGAAGTGAGTTAAATAAATTACTGAAAAACAATGCACTAAAATATGTATACGTACAAACCCAGTGCTTTTAAATAATTTATTTAACTGACTTCTAAATTAAACTTTGAACCATTTTTTTTACATAATCTACACTTCATAGAGAACATGGTCATAAGTTTTCACAAAAAAAAATGCATTCCGAAGAACTTCAACAAATTCCACCCCAAAAATTGTTAGTGTAAGGCTGAAAAATCAGCCTACTCACACCTATTACAAAGAACTAAAGTTGGGCCTTTTTTTTACTCAATTTTTGGGCCTGGGGCGATCGCCTCCCTTGCACCCCCTCTAGGGCCGCCCCTGAGCTTACTGACCCTCTGTACTGGCAAGGTCCGCGACATAACTTCTTTTTGTTGCGGAATAACTTCTTTACACAAAAGCCGCCACTTCAAGTGGCGGCTTGAAGTGGCGGCTTTTGTACTGCACCTTAATCGTGGTTAACTTCAACAGACAATCAACAGTATTTTGGGAATTATTTTTAAACTAGCAGTATTTCGGGAATTATTTATTTAATTAGCATTATTCCGAGAAAAAACTCATTTTTTTAATACGGAATACAATATAATGCAAGTGTAGTTGATTTCTGTGTTGGTTTATGTTTTATTGTTTATACTCCCTCCAATCTAGTATTAACTTCTTTGACTTTGAACCCCATCAAAATTTACGCGTTTGGTGAAAATATTGGCCAAAAAACAGGCTTACCAAACTGGCTCTGAAATTGGCTAAATTGGCTGATTCTGCTGATTTTTGAATAAATTAAATTTAAAATATTGTTTATTAATAAAAGGGAAAAATAATTAAAATACCCCAAACTTTGAAGGGGTGAGAGGTAAACACCTTAAACGTAATTTAAATACCCCAAACTTTATATAAAACGTTATTAGGCACCATGGTCATGTATTATTTTATTCAAAAATGTAATTTTATTGGGTTAATTGCATAATTTAAAATAACAAATTAAAAGCATTGTAATTATGTACTTTAGAGGGGTAATATTAGTTATTTCACAATGGAAGTTAAGAATGTTAATTGTGTCTTCATGCATGCTAAAATATTTTAAATTATTCAATTAACACCATAAATTTACATTTTTGAAAGAAATAATACTTGACTATGGTGCTGAAATAACTTTTTGTATAAAGTTTGAGATATTTAAATTACATATGCAAGTTTGGAGTGTTTATCTCACGATCCTTTAAAGTTTGGGGTATTTTAATTATTTTTTCCTTAATAAAATAAAGAAAAAAAATTTATGAAAAATAGCTAAAATGACCCCTTACAATAACTTCAGTCAATACAGCTAGAAAAGTAACTCCAACCTTACTTTTTCTTATTATTACATAATTCAACGTGCGAAATCAAAATTTACGTGTTTCATGAAAAAGTCGACGGATAAGCCTGATAAGCCAAAAGATAGAATTACCAAAGGGGCCTTTGTATGTATTTTAAAAAATGGAAATTATATAGTTGAGCGTTATATAAAGAGAAAAAGGGAATACGAAACACAAATCATTTGTCACAGAAAATGGAATTTATTTTGTGATAACCAGAATAACAAGTACTCCATATTAAGAGAATTTCGGGACAGATATTTATGAAATTGTCAAATAAATTAATTAAGGAGTACGTAGTACTTTTTAAATATATGATTAAGGGAATTTTATGAAAAACGCTACTAAGAATAAGAGAGTTATGGAATGGTTCCGGAAGTAATAAAGTATCTCAATTTTACCTTTAAATGAACAGAATCAAAAGTATGAACATTATTTGATTTTTTATCAATCTCTAAATATTTGGATCAAATAAAAAAAATCTTAACGTCAATCTAATGCACAATAAACTATATCTGATGCACTTTTTGAATAAAACTTATCTGATTCACTTTTCAAATAAATCTATTTAAGACAGTTTGGACGATTGAGATTAATTCTTATTTTATATGTTAAAATGTCATCTCATTTGAACTCCAACCCATAAATATTTTCTAATTAGAATGTCTTGACACATATCCTTATCAATTATCATGTACATATATCCTTATGCTTCAGATTACGATCACAAATACAAACGTGGATAAATTTGATTTTTACCAATCTCTTTTGTTTTTATTTCTCTTCTGCGATGAATCCAATAGATAAAATCATAAAATCTAATCCTATTTAAAAAGCATATATTGGTAAATTGAAAAAATACACTACGTACGTAACATCCAAGAAGCCGACCTACACAATCAACCACTTGAGCTATTCTCAACTCTCAAGTAGTCATGGACCAAAACTTTGCCGCCCGGCCCATGAACCGGACCAGCCCGGTAGCCCGGTCAGAGACTGGTCTGGGTCGGCCCGGCCCCGGGGTTACATAGGGCGGGCCCGGGGTCATGCAAAATAGGAACCGGCCAAGCTTGGCCCGGTTCGGGCCATTTTTTCTTTTCAATTTTTTTTTCTGATTTTCCCAAGTTGGGCTGAGTGTTTTGAGGGGGGGTTGGGGGGGGGTTGGGGGTGAGGGGGGTTGGAGGTTAATTAGAAAAGAAAAAAAATAGGAACGGGTCCGAGGCCTTGAGCCGGTGGATAACCGGGCCCGTTCTGGGCCTCAACTATCCCCAAAAAAGCCCGGTCAAGTCTGGCCCGGCCCATGTATACTCTCAAGTAACAAATCCATAAAATAAATTTCACTCAAGAACATCTAAAAAGAATATGTTTTAGAATTATTGTACTCGGGATAAAGAATATCCAAAAAGAACGTCTTTTTAGAATTATTGTATCATCTTTACAGTATTGGCTTCAATAATTAGTAGTACAAGAAATTCGAAGCTACGGAAGTACGGAGTAGTATAGTATCCACACTTAAAATTGGCTCAAACACCTCAAAAAATAAGGAAGAAGATCACAAAACAGGAGTGTTAGGCCGGACAAGATTTTCTAAGTTCTAATCCAAATATCGCGATAAGGAACAGAGCTGAGGACACCAGTTTGAAGAGCAAATACTATAATGTAGCATACCAATGTTAGGTGAAAGAAAAATATCAGTGCTCAACTTTTTTTACATATAACCTTCTGTAAACTTTGGAGCCTTCAAATTCAGCATGGATCTCCCTTTCCGTCCTTATCCCCATGGGATTATTTAATACCCATCCATTACTGTCACATAGTACATTAGAATCAACACTGTCTATGTGAAGGAGCTTGGACATCCCATCAAAACAATCTTTCATGTCAATAGCCACTTCATGCACATCAGATTGTATAAACACCTGCACATAAAAATTAACAATGTGAAAATTGAAATTATATTTCATTTATGCTTCATTAGATAAAGTGACATGCTAAACGATAGGACAAGTTGCTGCCTTGGGCTTGAATTAAAAATGATAAGGTCTAAAAAGACTGTCCTGAGCCCGTTGGCTCTTTTGGTGAATATTATTTGGCTGAAAAAGCTCAATCTGCTCAATTTTTTCAGAAATGTAAAGCGTTTGGTAACATCTATTCAGCCAAATAAGTATATCAAAAGCTACTAATTCCGTTAAGTTGCTTATTTATAAGTAGAATGTGCTGATTACGCCCACCAAACAGGGCCTTAAAATGTCGGTAGTGACTCATTCTGCTAAAATTGCTTGAGTTGTGGCTCATAATGGCTGGATTGCGTAAAAAATACACTTTAAAATTTATACTTCAATAGAAGAATAATTTCTAAAGATAGGTAAAGGTATCAATTTCTCAACCAAAAGAATAATAACTCCTGCACTAGTTCTTTTCCACATTTTCAAACGATCCATCGAAAGAAGTGAAATAAGTTAATATTGAAGCCTACCAAATGGGTGCTACATTGAGCATAGCGCCATAGTGAATACATCACTACCATCATACACTCTCCAACCCATGCTGATTTTTTTCCCATAGGCAGTAGGCACCCTACGGGAAAGTAAAAACTTCAAATTTGGCCCTTTCCAGGGGTTGAGATGACTACAAACCTACTAAGTGCATCGGGGTAGAGTTAGACGCTCGCTCCTAGGAGCCCCCACCAATAACTGTATTGGCTAACACTCCATTTTACGGTATGGGTATTCTAAGGGCAGGACACCAAGTGATGTTAGCAACCATGATTCTAACTACGTAGTGGTTAGTGGCATGAAATCATAGTGTCAAATAAGTCTCAATATACACAACTATGAAGACAAATTAGTGTGTACCTGTCCACCTTGTGCTAAACGATCAGCTATGGATTGAACCAAAGGCCTCTGCACAACTCTTCTCTTATGATGCTTTTTCTTGAAATAAGGATCAGGGCACTGTAGATCGGAGTCAATAGCTTTTTAAAGTTTTAAACTATAGTACTCCACAATTAATTTAAAGCCTGTAATCTTTAACAACACAAAAGGTGTGGCCGGGTGGACTCACCAATATAGAAACCAACAGCAATGGTCCAGGGTATGTAGACACAATTCTCTCAAAAGAAACTGTGGCATTTGCAAACATGAAATGTCTGCATATCAAATGTAATCAACTAGAGCATAATAGCTTCTTTTCAAGAGGAAAGTTACAAACTTTTGAAAATCCTTACATATTTTTGAGACCTAGCTCATTTGCCCAGTACACAGCACGCTTAACCAACTGCCAGACAAAAGCACCCCCAAACATTACTCATGTAAATGAGCCTATAAAAATGCGATTTCACTAGACCACAAATAAACGAACAAGTTTAGAAGAAAAGGCTAAATTTGCTTTACTTTTGGACGAATTTCAAATCCCAGATAATTCTTGGAATCAGGACATTGCTTAGCAAGATACAACAGAAATCTGCCACCGCCTGCACAGAATTGTTGTTAGACTCTAATTACACACCAAAAGTATGATAGCAGATAAATAGGAATATGATTGCTATCATAAAAAATAAACATTTGTCAATTTTGAAAAAGGAACAAATGGGAACTACTACTGTTATGCAATGATGACCATGACAATAAATACCTGTAACTTAGAAAAATACAGTAACATGCAAGAGGGCCATTGGACATAATCCACAAAGAACAAGCATTGTGGCATGTAAATTATACCCCTTACCACAGCCTATATCCACCATAAGCGGCAACGATGAGTCCCTGTATACTTCACTCCAGTTTGGCACTTCGGAAGGAGCCTTCTCAGAACAATATGCATTTCAGAATAAATCACATAAAACTCTAAAACAAACTTGAATGTGCTATTTTCTAAAAAGAAAATTTAATCAGATGAACAAACCAATGGATGAAGTGTAGAATACCAAGAGGGAAGAGCGCAAAGGGTTAACATGCTGCCTTATCCGGACATGACCCACCTCCTGCAACACTTTATATTAGCAACAAATCATCCGGGCGATCAACAAATTCATGAAAATATTCCTTACAAGATACATACTACATGGAAAAAAGAGAATTGTATTTAATTTACTAAAAAGCCTGGAGATAATGAGCAAACTCTTCTCTGCTGCAAAGAGCTTCAACTCATGTTCAAACACAAATTAAGCATATTCATGCTAATTTCAAGTGTACTCTAATAGCTCACCCAAAGCATACAATTTTTTTGTACCTCTTTTAATATTTAGTTGCTAACACTTTTAATTCACATTTTCCCACGCACCATTTTGACGGACACTGTCTTTAATTAGTTAATAGTAAAAATTATTAAAAAATTATATTATAAAATTTTAAATTGTACCCCGTAACAAGTTTAATACCCCGTAAAGTATTTTATAAAATACTTTTAATAGTACTCCGTAATATTTTCATAAAATATTTTATACTGCGTAAATAAACCCAGTCAAAGTAAAGTAGTAGTAGTATGTAAATAGGGTAAAGGTTTGAAACTGTTACAAAATTCAACGTGTGTATAGATAGATTTGATTCTATTTAGTTACCGTTTTTACCTCGCAGAACTTATCGGTGAGGTTGAGATCAGCGTATTCCAATGCTACTAGCTTAGGGCTTCTGATTTGCCTTTCTCTGTCGCTCACAGAAGATGAAATATCCGCTGACGACGCAACCGTGGAGACCAACTGGCAATAGCACCGATAGCGGCGGCGCGGACGGTGTGGAACCGGAGGTGAAAGGAGTTTTCTGAAGGAGTGAACCTTAACTTGACCGGTGTAAATGCTGAAGAGAACCCTCCTGGGCAGAACACAGTATATCACAGAAAGGGCCATTTTCTAACCGGCAATTTCTTCAAAAATCAAATTGTTAGCTGAATAGCAAGTAAGAACGATTCCTAATCCCTATCTACGTGGAACTTTTGCTAGGCGGGAACTAGAACGTTCTCAACTTGTGATTTCTGAGCCATTTAGTTTACGGGTTTCGCGGGTCAACCCACGCGGGTTGCGGGTTTAAGTGGGTTGACCCACCGAGTTACGGGTTAGCCCGCGGGCTAAAATACAAAAGTATAGTTTTGAATTTTATTATCTAAAATATTATTCTTTTACTACCAATATTGTTAGGTCCCCTAAATTTTGATGTATAATGTAATAGTTTTGATGATGTCATCCATTTTTATTATTCCTGTATTAGACTAGTCTACTACATTGTTCTACTTTGATAAAAAAGAGAAAGGGTACGAAAAGTGTTAACTGGTATTCATAGTTAAAATTAAGCTAACTGGAAAACTCCAGAAATCAGCAGTCGGCTGATTTTCTGGGCAGCCAGCTGAAAATTGGGTTTTTCTGCTAACTCATCCGAAATCCAATTCTCTCTTCTCTTAGCACAAAACACTGATATAAAAGACCAACTTGCAGACAAAAGAACAAATTGTTAAAAAGTAAATTTATAAGAGATTTCTTATCACATTATGAATTTCTTATAAATTTATCTTACAAAAGCAAGTGTTCGATCGTTGTAAGGAAGCATTGAAATATCACTCAACTTTATACTAGTTTCTACGTAGGAAAATAAAAGATGAAATATCGTTTATCTTGCATTGAAATGTGTAAACAAGTTGAGCTGAAGATAGTTAGTCTGTGTCACTACGTGACAAGAAGAAATCATGTTGCCTCAGTCAAGTGAAATAAAGCAAGTAGATCAAGCAACGGTCAAGATTCATTTTCTCAGTCAAGGGTGAAGATGAAATGATCAAGTCTATAAATACAGAAGGTGGGATTACCAGTGTGGAAAAATGTGGTAATTAAGTGGAAAAAAAATGGAATCAAGTGAATAGAAGGAAATCACACTCTTCACGCTCAAATCCAGCCAACTGATTTCCCTTCTACACTTAGGCCACCACCCCACTCGTCTAATGCTCTTAGAATAGTTATGATTCATACAAATCAATAGAGCTTAGACTAGTTGGTAGTTTAGAAAATATACCCATGTATTCTAGACTAGTGTTAGACATTCTGGAGGGCTTGGTGATCAAATCCAGAAGGTGAGAAAGGGCAAGGACATGAGTAGCTCTTGGCGAGTCAATGTCATTAGTGAAAAACCTTAGGAGGATATGAGTAGCTTGGAACGGTGTTCAAGTTCCTCGTGACAAACCTCACAATCTACGCCTGAGCCAAGGGTAGATGAGTACTAGATGTAATGAGATATACAGTTAGTGAAAAACCATCTGAAATAGGTTGAGACTGGATGTAGGGGGATTACACCACCCCTGAACCAGGATATGTGTCACCTTTACATTCTGCACCTAACGCTTATTTCAGTTCTCACTCACTTCGTTATCAATCCATATTCTCTCATTCAATTTGCAACCATCTCCTCTCCAACTTGTGACCGTGAAATGAAGATTCACTATTCCAGGTTGCCGTTGTTCCCTGGTTTCACCCACTTTGACGAATGGAATCCCCAGCCTCCATCACTCCATGGGTTGTCGACACAAAGAGAGGCAGAAAGAAAGCCCTGCAATTGGGCCTCTTGCTACGAGCACCAATTGCCCGCAATTTTTTAGGGCTGGGACCGGTTCGGTTCTTACTCAAAATAAGTGGAACCGTTATAAAAGTTTTAACTAATTAAATCGGTTCGGTTCCTATATAAAAAATCAAGAACCGTTATGGAACTGAACCGGTAGTAAACGGTTTGGTTCTTCCTTTTACCGGTTCCTAGAATAATTTTTTCTCATCTAAGAATTAACACATAATTTTAAACACGTCGAAAATTCAAGACAAGAGTATTAAAATTTTATTTGAAGCTCTAATTACTTCAAACATCAAAGCTCAAACTTAACTAATTTACTTTGAACACTTAATAGAACAAAAGTGATTTAAATTTTCATGTAATAAATGAAACATTAAAAATCATTGTAGTGTTGGAGCGATGAAGGTTACTCGTCATCATAGTAGCAAGAATAGGACGTCTACTTCAAGTCTTTCAAAACATAAAAAAAAGACATAAAGTTTGCATGTATAGATATAAAAAAAACATTATTACATTCTATTGATTCATAATAAATCTAGTAATTAAAAAAAACATTATGACATTCTATTGATTCATAAAGTTTGCATGTATGACAAATGTGTAAGAATAGTCAATACTCAATAGAATTGATTCACTGGGGTTTACTTATATACACAATACACATGAGTAAGAAAACTGTAGATTACGGGGTTGGGATTAAATTAAAACAATTACAATATGTAAAATAATATTAAACAAATATTATATTGTATACCAGACCCCTAAGTTTACTTATATACACAATACACATGAGTAATGATTCTATTACTTTATAGACATAAAGTAAAAAAAACATTATTACATTCTATTGTATCATGAAAATAGTAAAATAAAATATGTGCAATCAACTACAAGTTATTTGGGTTATTTTATATTTATAAAATTTATGTGATGGAACAAAACTTGATTTGTAGAAAGGAGTTTAATGTATTATATCAACCTCATGTACAATATTTATTACTCCGTACTTCTTTTCCGTTGATTAAATTAGAACTGTTAGTTAAATATCTTATATTGTTTTATTATTATTGTTGTTGTGGCAGTGATTATTATTGCTATTATATTATTATTATTGTTGTTACTATTACTACTACTAATATTATTTTATTTTTTATTTTTTATTTTTTTTAATAACGGTTCCTTAACGGTTCCATGCACACATTTTTTATAGGAACCGGGAACCGAACCGTTATAACCTGCTTCGGTTCCTACAAATGAGGCATTAATTGTTAACGGTTCGGTTCCTAGATGTTGTTAACGGTTCGGTTCCAATCGGTTCTACGGTTCCCGGTTCCAAAATCCCACCCCTACAATTTTTTCGTGCCGGAGAGAGAGCTTTGCAGTTGGGTCTCTGTCTAGGAGCATCAATTTGTTTGTCCCTGGTCCAGGGGCAGACCTAGGAAGTTTGTCTTGGGAGGACGGTAACTTAAAAAAAATATTTTTTTAGAGGGTGGAAATTAGTTTTTGGTATATATATACACTAAAAAAATTTTGTTAGAGGGGCCACTGCCCCTGGGTCTCTACTGTCCGCCCCTACCCTGGTCGCTAGAGAGAGATCTACAACTGGGTAGATGACCTGAAAGCTCCCCTATTGGGGCCAGACCGCCACACAACTGAAGGCCGAGTGGGAGGACTTGTACGCTTCTTCCATGGAATACTGTAGAGGTGATTAAACCCCCCACCGAATTCACTCATATGCCCGTTCTTTTCGATTTCCTATCCTTCAACTAAGGATGGCAATGGGGGCGGGGACCCATGGGGAACCGCCCCGCGGGAGAAGGATGGGGCGGGGCTTGGGGCGGGGCGGGTAGAGATGGGTGAAATAATTTTACGCCGTTAAAATATGGGGCGGGGGACGGGTATTGCTACACCCGCCCCGTCCCCGCTATAAATATATACTTAAACATATATATCTACACACACATATATAAATAGTGTACACACATATAAAATTAAATTATTTGTAGTATATAACAAACGCATATACTTATAGACATACATAATTGTATAAGATTTAATCATGGTTAATGAATTAATACATATTATACTAGAACAATAATAAGCTAGTGACGATTAAAAATATTTATCATAAATGTTACTTCGTATATGAGTTTTAAGAGTGAGAAAGTGAGTAAATAAATACACACACATTTATATGTAATATAATACTCCCTCCGTTCCAATTTGTTTTGCAAAGTCAACATTTTTTGGTCAACCAATAATAAAATTCAATCCTCCATTTGGATAATTAATTCAATTTTTAATAATTAAAATTTATATATTCATAAACTACATTAAAATCTCTTCAAAAATGTAAACTCCAAATTAGAATATAATTAAAAATTGACATCCTAATTAGGTGAACAAAATGAAACTGTTTGACCGAGAAAAGTCAAATTTGCAAATCAATTTGGGACGGAGGTAGTACATAGTATGTAATTAATTGTATTATAATTGTTGAGAATTTTGAAACAACGTACATGATGATAATATGTTTACTTATATTTTTACTTTAATTGTCTTCAATTCACAAAACTTATTCAAATTGAAGAATTATTAAAGTTGGTGGTATTAACTTTTAACAAACACAATACTTCAGTGTGTGTGTGTAAGTGTATCATATATCACTGTGTGCACGTACATATATATAGGTTTAGGATCAAATGAGAATAACGTTTAACATGAGAACGTGCGAACACCACATTTATCCCAATGTGAAGCACAATGGGCTCGCACAATGCAGTTTTTTGTATCTAGCATAATATTTACAAAAGTGTCACCGTGATTATTTATACTAGCTTGTATTGAGCGAAGTCCAAATGTGCACTAGAATGACTCTATTGTGTATCACATTGGATTATTGTGTATCACATTGGATTAAATGTAAGTGTTTCCACGTTAATCATCGTTTTCATTGGAATCACACTACATATGTTTATAATAAGAGATTAAAAGTATATGCAAATACGATAAATTAAATCTACACGGGGGCACCCGTGGGGGACAATGGGGTGGGGCGGGGATGGGGCGGGTCTGGGAGTAACGGGGGATGGGGCGGGGATGGGGGAACTTTTTAGACATGGGGCGGGGGATGGGGGAGTGTACCCCCGCCCCAAACCCGCCTCATTGTCATCCCTACCTTCAACGGTTGTTCCCAAAGGGGCGACGATTCGATGATTATCTAGCTCCGAATAGGATCCACCCTCCCCAAGTCGAACATCCAATCTCTCCTGGAAGTGGCGGTAATGAAGAGGCGGAATTTTTTTGACAACAGTTTGTCCTAGTCAGCATGTTCACGCGGCTTTCTACACTCGCACCTTGCTCTTCACACTGTTTAATTTTTTTTGCCAACTCATCATAAGACTATATGCATTGG